CTGTATAGTAGTGTACTGCGGACTGTTGCCGAAGGAACTCCACCTTTTATACCTTTTTAAGCTTCTACCGATAGGTTGTTAACTTGGTTGGGCCCATGTTGACCAATGACGATATATAATACATGTTCTACTGTACGGACACCTCCACACTTAGGATGCTAATTCGTGACTCGCTAGATATTCAGCGTGTCCTCTACATACATGTACATGCAACCTGACAGGGAAATGTGTGTCAATGGATTACAAGGCAGGCCTCCGAGTCATTAAAGCGATGTTGGTAAGGCAAAACAGTATCGGCTAGTACTGCAGAGTCATCCAGGATGAATAACATGTATTATAGCAAAACTGTGCGCAACACGGCAGTGTTTGGCTCGCGGTCATCGTGCGCGCTGTGCCGGGCGTCTATTGATTGATACCATCTGGTCCAGTAGAAGCTAACTTTGCACGTCAAAGTGATCATGTAAGTCACTCTGCTGGTTAAAAATGCTCTCGTGGCCGTTTAACCACCCTCCATTGTACAATTTCCTCTCGACAATAACATGAAGTCCGCTGTCTTCTGCGCACTGGCCGGTACGGCCATCATGCTGACCACAACTGTGGACGGCCACGGCCAAATGCTGGTGCCGGCCTACCGACACATCACGGCCAAGTACCGTGCGGACTGCCTATTCGGCCTCAAGGGCTCCGGCGACGATGAGCTGGAGTGGGCCCCTATCGAGCTCTTGAGCCAGCGTGGCCGAGCTGGCCAACCGGCGGCCCCCACCTTTAACATGCTAAACGGTTGTCGAGGCACAGTTTACGAGCCCGAGAACAATGTGACGAAGCTCGAGGCTGGCAAGAAGTTTGATGTCAAGTACTTTATCCAGGCACCGCACCCAGGATACATGAAGCTGAGTATCGTCAAGCCTAGTACCGACTCGATCGGCAAGATCACCTACAAGCGCGACACGCAGATCGGGTACTTCAGCAACTTCGCCACCTCGGGGGGTACCTTCACAGTCTCGGCCACCATCCCCACTACTGTGACGGGCTGTGAGAATGCTGGAGACTGTGCTCTATAGTTCTTCTGGCACTCGGATGTCGCCAACCAGACGTACCCGACGTGCGCCGACATCATTATCCCTGGCAGCGGCGCTGGGGGATCTTCCAAAACATCTATCTCAACGTTGACTACAGCCACCAAGTCTTCTACTAAAACTACGGGTAACTCAGAAGTTGGCAATGAAGCCAGCGACACTGCTGCTACCACCCAAGCTTCGTCGGACGATGACACCGCTACATCCACCACGGACGAGTCGAGCGCCGGTACTACCACTGCGCCTAGCACGTCTACTACCTCGGATAAATGTCTTCGTCGCAAGTAGATGAGTAGACAGCTCGAGAAGATCCCGTTTGAGAGGGAACTAGTGTGTTAGCTCGTGTCGTGTCATAAAAGAGATAAAAAATAGCGTTGCAGTCTCTATCTAACTTCTTTTCTAGTAAAAAGACTTCCGAAAGACGACAATCGATTGCAGCGGCCGTGCTTTCAAGCTCACTAGTCGTTCCTGTCATTTCCTTTGCGTGCAAAAGCGTATCATCATCTCACAGTATCCCCGTCTGATCGATGTAGTGAGCTTGTAGCCAGATTCGAGCTAGTCGCTTCAATAAACGTACTCAGCAAACGTCCTGGAATCCTATTCAACTAAGACCCACCTTTTTTTCTTTTTGGTACGGCGTGAACTTTCGCTCTCTAGCCATTTTCCAATATCCCTGCCTTCCGCAACTTAGTTTTTTATCCTGTTGCAATGGTTCTCTTAACGTCGATCCTAGCAGGGGTGATGCTACTCGCCACACAAGCGAACGGACATGGATACATGACCGATCCGGCTGTGACTTTCCTGTCGTCGTCGACGGACAACACGCAGTTCATCGCCACCATCGAGGCATCCGCATCGAAGTTCAGCGGCACTTTCTCAGGCTCACCCGCAGACAACACGGCCGCCTTCACGACTGCATTCGAGTCCAGCTCGTACACATCCCTGAAAGAATTGATCAATGCCTTGGCCACGGTTACTGTCACGGATGCTACGCTTACTTGCGGATCATGTGATCCTGATGAGACGTCGCAGCCCCTACCGGAGACGTATGTGGAGTGGTCACACTCGTCCACTGAAGGCTTCACGTCCTCTCACGAAGGTCCATGCGAGATTTGGTGCGACGACGTTCGTGTGTTCCAAGACAACGACTGCGCTGCAGACTACACCTCGGCTCCAGCTGAACTACCGTACGACCGTGATGCCTGTTTGGGCTCCAGCACGTTGACTTTCTACTGGTTGGCGCTGCATTCGTCTACCTGGCAGGTGTATATCAATTGCGCGCCGCTCGAGAGTACTACCTCAACAGGTGCAACGTCCAAGTACGCCGTGACGGGTTCGAGTAGAGCGGTCGTCAGTACCACGAACTCGACTAGCGTGACGCCAACGGCTACAGCATCTACCAGCTCTCAATCGTCGGGGACAACTTCAACAGCTACTTTAGCGCCACCTACCACGACTCGTCCACAACAGGCTCACATACCGGAGCATCAACTACAACTACGCCGTCAACCGGCTCAAACACCGGCCGCCCTGGCACCTCGAACCAGTGGACGGCGAACGGAGGCTGGCCGACTTCCCCAACTATCCATACCAGTACGTCGGGGAGACAGCAGCCTAACGCTTACAGCGACGTCCAAGC